TACCTGACACCCGTTGGTAAATGAAGCATACAGTATGTCTTATCCCCAAGACATCTAAAAAACTTATAGATTTTACATATAATAGCTTGCAGTAATTTGTTGAACTGCTTGATTAAAAAACTATATTTTACTTGATTTTGGAAATTATTTGTGGAACTGGTTGATAAAAAAATTATATTTAACCTGATTTTTGAAATTACGTTTTCGCTCCGGACTGTTGTACCTCAACAGAATGTTTTGCGGAGATGGAAGAGCATTTGTTTGTTGAACAAATGCAACAATGTTTTCTTATCATTGATGAAGTAAATTAATTAACCTGTTGTCTTTTTTTTTATAACAAAAATAAATATAAGAATTGTTTCGTTTAGATATGCTGCCACTACTATCTAGATTCGTTGGTAACAAGCCATTGTGCATTCGCAAATATAGTTGATGGAATTACTATTGCCTTTTGTACTTCAATTTCTGGTATGATTTCTTTTATAGTCACTTCGAAATACTCCTAAATTTGTAACTTAAATTTGCGCAAAATGTTTGGTGTACCTTATGCATATATACGAATGATAAACATAATCACCTATTAGTTACAAAATAATACAAAAAGGACCAAAGGCCGCTTTACCAATAAAAATAAATTCAAACGCAAAAACGCACATACATAATACAGAGCATAAGCGCAAACATATGAGAATAATCGACTTGAAAAATATTTAATTCCCTCGTGTAATTATGAGTAATGAATATGAAAATAAATTCAATTTATTTTTATATATCTAAAAAGCATTACTTTATAATTCAAAATTTGTATATATGTACATATTAAGGTGTCTCCAAGTTGTACCTAACTTTCAAAAACGTTGCGGTACGCCTTATTTTTAATATTCTTTCTCACTTTTTTCCATTTCTTTAGCTTCTTCACTAAGGTACTAGAAAATAATATAACCAATCTGGTTAATCTTACAAGATTTTCTAGACCACCCTATTTCATAATGATATTAGCATCTAAAAAAAAAGCACAAACGAAAAACTTTCATTAACTAAATTCAACAATAATATTTAACAGTGTAAATAATTAAAAAGCTCTTACAAATGCTAATGACAATTAATTATATTGAGGCAATCAATTAACTTTTTACAATAAATTAAAATGTAGCCCGCATTCCTCCTATTAGCCCCTATTAACATTATCCACCATCTTGAATAAAAAAAGCCAGAAAAAACAATGACATTTACTCAAAGAAAAACAATTTATTGATTGCAGTGTATACGAGTGTAACCAGTTATATAATTTCACTTAACTTCAAATAAATTCAGTAGAATAACAAACACAAACACAAACCCAAAGCCAACAAAAACAATAGTAAACAAAAATAGAAAAAACAACAAAAACAACAAAAGGAAATGACTACACTCGCAAACAGGCCAAAGGGTGGCAACGAAAGCCATTTAGACACTAAATTAAATAGACATTTGCATGCAAAGCTAAATACTTTTATAATTGAGAAAAGCGTAGAAGGACAAAAAGTACACAAACAAACAAAAAACGAAAATTAAACGCAAAAGAAAAAATGAAAAGAACCATTTTTAAATAAATAATGGAATGTGCCAAAGAAAAAACAAAGTAAAAAGTTAAAAGGAACTGAAACTGGAACTGGAAGAACGCAAATAAAATGCCAATGACTAAAAGATAATGGATAACGGCAGAAATTTTAAGTTACAAAGTCTAATAAACAAATTTGATTTACTGCAATCAATATATGTATATGCGTTTCCCCCGTAAATCTCACAAATCCTCTTCCATATCGATTCTCCATCTTCATTACCAACAACAACAAGTTAAAAATATTGAGAAGAAGCCATATGTTAAGACAATACTATATATACACAGAAATCTATATATATGTATATACCAACCTACTCTGCATATACACATTAACAGGTAGAAGAGCAAAAAGAACACCAGAGCAAAAAAAGCACTGCAAAAAACAAAAGGCAAGAGCTTGCGCCATTTACAGCAAGCGGTTGACTACAACGACGACACCTTCAAAGTTAAATGCTTTCGCAAATTGCTAAAGTCAGCGCATACATCAAGACGAAAATAGCCGACAAAGAAAAACGGGATGGAAAACTAGACATCATTATTGATGACAATTGAGTGCGCAAACCAAAGCAAAACAAGAATGAAGCAGAAAAATAAACAGAAATAAATAAAACAAAATAATAAAAAGAAAGTTTGAAACCAAGAAGCTAAAGACCACAAAGAGTGCTTTTCTTCTTTTGTTTTTCTTTGGAAGCATTGAAAAATAGTCAAAGGGAATAATACTCAGCTCTCTGCCAACGAAACAGCAATTATCATAATTAAGATTGCAACCAAGTGGAAAATATACCAACAATCTGGTATACCCATAAACATGTTTACACTTATACATACACACAACAATACCAAATTATGTGTATACAGATAAATAATATAAATTTACCCCCAAAAGAACACAACAAACGAAACACAAACGAAACACAAACAGGAAAGAACGAGTGAATGGGCTAGCAAATAAGCAAATAAGTAAGTAAGCAAGTATAAGAACGCGTCAAACGTCAAATTGAAAAAATTAATGACGTTTTGTTGACAGCTTTAGGAGCGCAGTATATCAGTGTCAAGCGCACAATACTAAACTGCAGCTGCTCTAATAAGCGAAACAAGCAGACAAAAGTGGAGGGAACAATAAAACGTCATTAAATGCAGTATTATGATTGGCTCATAGCAACACACTCATAGAAGTACACCTCAAAAACTATTTTAAGTTGGCTCCACCTTTTCACACTCACTCTCATGGCACATAATGACGTCATGCAAGCTGCTAGCAGCTAACATCAAACATCAAGCAAGAGGCACATGTATTTGTGAGAAGATTCAATAAATTTGCTCAGTGGTAGGAAACCAGTTTTTCATTTTTGCCTTATGCCCACTGTTTACTATCTGCCTGTACTCTTTGTTATGGCCCTGTTTAACGTTTGCCTGGCACATATTTTTAATGTTTTTGCAGTTGTTGCGCTCTCGCTAATCGTGTAGTTTGTCGGTGTCGCGAATAAATCAAGCGCTGTTAGCCATTTTTAACGTGTTTTCCCGACGCAAAACTGAATACTGAAACTTACACGTGCAATTAGCAACTCACGTTAAATTAAAAGCAAAAGAAGCTATGATTTTTGTTTGTGCTCTAACTGATCGTCACTCTGCCTAATAAATGCACCCGAACTACATAAATAAATAAAGTTTTGTTATAACTTAAAGCAGTTCTATGATTTATAAACCTATTAAAATAATTTCCTTAGCGAATATGATGCATTCCAATACTCCGCCACCTGTACCGCCGCGTACAAGCAGCCCAGCTATGTCAGAAATTTCAGTTGGATCCCCGAGTCCACCTATTGCACACACCCATCAAATGACAGCTTTTCGGCCTATTAATCCCAAACGTCTGCGTTTAACAAACGAACGTGTACAAACACCGATGAGAGCGAATAGTTTGGCTTCTGCAGCAACAATCTCCAGACGAAAATCTTGTGCAGAACGTGTGAAAAGCTTCTCCATAGACGATATTCTAGGACAAAAAACTGTATCAGACTCAGCATCAACTGAATCTCAAATAAATTCATTAGCTGTCTTACCATCACCTACAACCCCCGCACTAGCAGCTCCACAACTCTTAAACGAACGTTTACAGGTGCCACCAGCGCACTTAATGCTTGATGTTCCGTCCGCTCTTACAAAAATGCCACTACAAGCCTGGGATCCTATGCAGAGTAGTTTACCGATGAGACCTTTCTTTCCACCTGCGCTACTTCATTATGAGCAAAGACTCGCCTGGGATTACCAAAGACAATTGCAGGAACATTTTCAGGTACAGTTACTAAGGCAGATGAACATGGGCACAAATATAATTGCTTCCGAAGACGGTTCAGAGCTTTCTCGTTCTGGTTCAACTGGCAGTGATTGTTATTCTCCGGAAATAAATGTGAACGGTGATTCTAAAATTACTAAAACAGATGCAGAAACAAACGAAGAGAGTGATAGTAACATAGAAAGTGATAAAAATACCAAGCAATCAAAGGGTGATGGAAGCAATACTGGAAAGAAATCCAATCTTGATACACCGCTAGATGCTCTATTTCAGTTATCAACGAAAAACTTTGATGAAGAACAAGGTAGGTGCAGAATCTAAAAAACTAAAATAATTAATGTGTGTCCGAATTCTTCAGCACACTTACCATCTAAAATAAATTATTAGAGTAAGACACTATTGTTAAGCAAATGATTTTTATGTAATGTGTACACTTCCCATTTTGGTATCAAGTGGAAAACCAATAAAATTAATTTTAAGTATAATTTTTTTAAACTTAGTTTTCCCTTACAATGAGATTTACTCACGTTTTACTGAAATGGCCATAACAAACCGTTACAGCGTTTCGGTTTGACGCAGCAAGTCTCTCTAGGTGCCTCTGCTAATTAAGCGCTTTCTCTAGTCTCGTACGTCAAACTACCGCTCAAATAAATTTTTTCACTGGAGCATCGAGAAAACATATATTTTCAAGACATATGCAAGCCGGTGAAGTCGCTGACTGTTTATTTCATAGACTATATAAATATAATCGGTGCCAACTCGTAGAGGACTGACTAAAGATCTTAAGACGAAGTTTTCTCTTAAAAACTCACAATGCTACTTAATCATTCTAAGATAGAGTCCATGTTACACTGTTAATTTCACTTGTATTATCTTTGCATTTCGTATTACTTTATTTTTTATTCTAAGATTAAAAATGTTCCATGAGAGATATTCTATGTAAGCTCACACAATTTTTGTGGTAGTTTTTATACCGAACTAATTTCTCTCTAGTTCTCTTTAATACTCTGACAATAGCGACGTCAACAGCTACATAGCCTTTATACTGCAAATATATAACCTCCAACTTGGTACATAGAAGTAAATCGGAAGTATTTAGGATAATATTTGTCCTTATAAGATTATTGACTATGGAGCCCTTTCGAATTTCCTGTAGTTCGAGTCTACCGGCGTTCGAAGAAGAGACACCGAAGTACCTGTCGTGCCTATGTGTAGGCTTGTTAAGAACCATGCTTAAGCTATTGTCCACGCCATTCTGGCACATTCCTTTACACACTCGGCGATATTTCTAATATTAGTATCGGCCATATAATTGCATTTATTAATGAATCTGACTGATTCTAATATACCTATTCTTCTACCGACGATTACGAGAAATGTGGAATTAAAACGACTTTTTAACTAATTCAGGAGGATTCGTTGCTCCTTCCTTCTCCTTCACCATTCAAAGAATATATATTCTACGGAGTAACTGAAATCTATGATATCCCGGACACTAGTAACATTTTCAGCATCACTTGTTAAAATATATAAAAAGGTAACAGAAAATTTGTATGTTTTGTATTCAAATAGTCATGGAAGTATACGGTACTGTCAATTAAAAGCGACACTGGTATTGTTTAATGTTCTCTTTAATTTTTTTTGGGTGAGGAGGAATGTTCAATGCAGCGTTAAACCGACTATTGCCGAAATCGCTTTCGCATTACTTTAAAAAGTACCTGTTTTATGTTGGCATTTTAAATCATACTCTTTTGATTAATGATCTGCATCTAATCCTCCTCTTTCTTACCGCATTTAGGCTACTTTCTGCTTTTCCTTCCTAGTTCCAATTGCTTCACTTTGAGGACTTTAATCACGTATAACTCTGTCATTTGTCAGCTCTCTATGTTAACTCTCACCTTTTCAACTTTCATGTTAACGTAGAATTAAACATCATTGACGATATCTATATAACTGTCAACTGTCTCAATGTTTTCGATTTCATTCTTGTAAGCATTGCCAACATTTTGGAAGTCACGGTATAGTTGATCGCTATTTGTACTGATACAGACAAAGATTAACGATTAAATAAAAAATTTTTAATAGTAAACAGATATATATTAAAATAAATATCTGAATAAGTTAAGCATTTTTATAGCTGTGTTTTATATATATAAAATAAAGAACATACATAATATATTCACACTTAATCATTACAATATATGCATACATGTTTGTCAAAAAGATCAAAAAACCTTTTCAGATTTCGCTATTCAACTCTCTATTAATAATTTTTGGAATATATCACTCTTACTATGTTTATAAAATTGATTTCTTCTACTATATATCTTTATAATTAATCTATTTATAGAAATTAAAAAAAAAGTATACTACAAAAAATGATATTTTCTGTTTGTGTTAAAAAACCTCCAACAAAAGCAGATTTCCTCTTTTATTTCGCGTAACTTTTACATTTCGATTAACCTCAATATCAGCTTAAGTATATCATCACCGAAGCACCGCAAATTATGACAGTATTATCAGTGTATATTACCTGTTCATCCAAGTGGTTTGTAATACATCATCGACATCATCGGCGTCAGCTCTTTCATTTCTTACTCTATTTGACTTACAGACGCAGTGCAGTGTACGAGTGTAATTTCATTGATCAGCGCCATTAGTTGAAAGCTGATCAATTGTTGTCATTATATTTTGATGAGATTCTGCTTAAAGCGTAAAAACAGTAGTGAGGTCAGCTGCCTGAGGTTGCTAAATCAATTTCTACCTTTCAGATATTAACGCATTACGGCATTGAGGAGCAGTTCAGCGTAAAGACGAACAGCGAATAACGTCATTATTGTGAGCAATAAAAACGGCACATAAAATCACCGCACGGCAATACTGAATACTGAATACTGACTGTCTTTATGAAATAATCACGTTTGTCCAACGAATCTTCCGTATGCAATTCTTTCTGTGCATTCCCCGATTTGATTACAATATGCATATTTTGGCGCATGCGTATCTCATTCGTCTCAATTCATAACTCGCTCGTTGGCTGAAGCTTAAGCCCCGAACTGCACTCCGCATTCCTCATTCCGCACTGCGCTGCGCTGTGCTACTGATAGAAAAGAAGCACATCGCCGGACGGCGTAATCGGGAGCTGTTGCTACAATTTAGCTAAGGCACAATTTATTTCTTGTTAAGCTTGGGACCTTACAATCGATCGTGTGATCGGTCGTTGATTGTTCAGCAAAAACGTGGCTACTGTGCTTGTTTTGATTGTTGTGATTGTTGTGATTGTGGTTGATGTTGATGCTGATGTTGTTTCAGTTGTGATGGTTTAATTTCGTTATAACTTTGTAATCAGTTTCGTTGAGGTAAATTGAATTTACGCAAAGCACGTACACACAAATCCATTGTGGCTTTGTTGCACCGCTGATGACTTATGATGTTATGATGTAAGCATCCATGCCTTCCAACCCAATTTAGTATGTTATCCAAGCTTATTTGAACTGCTAACGATTGATTTTGTGAAACCGGCGTCCACAATTGTTCCCTTTAATAAGTTGTTGTGGCGAGCATCAGCTACTGGATTTTAATATTTCATTTCACTTTAGATAGTTTCCTTTAAAGCTGTCTTTAGATGCTTTAGAGATTTTTATTATTATTAAATGAAGTACTCTTTTTAACTAAAATTCTTCAAAGCAATAGTAAAGCATGGAGTAAGAAACAATCCTTAGCGCCATTAGATTACGTGATAGAATTTTAGTGTTTATTATTTATTACAATTATTTTTGTGTCAGTGAAGAAAAATGAGAGCTAAAACCACATTTTCTCGAAAGTAGTAACGTAAACTAACCGAAAATAAACCGTTGTTTATTCAATAAAAAATTAACGCTCAGAAATGTTAAACTTCGTGGGAATTAGGAAAACCCAAAAGTGAATCGTATATTTCTGCAAGAAGTCTTTTCTGAACTCAGCAGTACAACGATAGAATATTCACCTTTTTTATAGATATGTATACGTATCGTATTTATAGTTCTGATTACACAATTTTTAAAGTATTCATTAGTGAAAATTAGGTAGGATATATCAAATAATCTTACCCCCATACATCAGAAGATCGTACGTATTTACTTACTATACCCACTATGACACAAACAAACCGATACACATTTTCTTTATCACTGATGACCCCAGAAAAGTATATCTTTGAGAAATATCTATTGACGGTAAGCAAACAATATGAACAAAAAATCTAGTTATGATATATTAAAGTAACTAAATTACAAATTAAAAATATACTCATCATAAATAAAATTATCTGAGGCCGGTTATTGCATGGTCTGATGAAGTGTTAAACAATAATCCAGTCAAGGCGTAGAAAGGGGTTATGAAGAAACCTCGGAGTTAATAGAGAGTAAAAGTGCTCAACTGCACTGACTCAACTAGCCTCAACATAATAATATATTCAAAATAATGAATTTATGATGTATATTGATATATATTTCTTATTTTTATATAAATAAAACATTTTCCAAGTTTTGATACATATAAGAAATAACTCACTTTTTCCCAAGTAATTAAATTATCTTTTAATCCAAATTAATAACTTAATCTCACTTCATGAGCTGGTTCACAGATGTGCCCAGCATCAAGCTGTTGGAATTCGAATAGCATTTCCGGTTGTGAGACCAACCGACAATTATTACAACTCACTACACACATTAGTCAATTGAAAGAGTATGGGGTCCGCAGACTAAGTAGGGGAGCTGTAAGTACATAATAGTATTAACTGTTTAATAATATCTGCGTCAATTTTTCACTGAACATTAACCAACATATTTGTTGTAATTTTTATATCTGCGAAGCTGAAGCTTTTTATACCCAAGCTTACTACAACAACGAAAAATAGCAACAATCAACAATTGTATATTTACTTTTTTCCTTTTTGTAATACATTTGAACATATTATTACTTTTAATGTTTAATGATGATTTCCTTTTTAGTGTGAGACTCGAAGCGTATTGAGTGTGAATACGTATCTACGTATATGGTAGATACTACGTATAGATACTTTCGTACTGCGGTTAAAATGTAGTGCAATTTGCGAAGAAAAGCATAATTCAAGTACAATTCATGCATGCATTATGTGTTCAAAGATAAACTGGTAGATTTTCAATAAAGTGTATAAGTTCAATTAGCAACTTGTTTTGCGGTTAATTAACAATTGATCAAAAGGCGATAGCCGCAAGGAAGTCTCATACTCATACTCATACTCATACTCGTACTATGTATCTGCCAATGTATTGTAAGCTAATCCAATGATATTGTAGTGAAAAAATTTTTTCATATTTT